GGCTTGTAAACAACGACCATAATTATTTGTAGGCAAGTTAACCATTGGACCAACACACTTTAACAGGTTAGTTCTCCAAAAAATTAAAATTCTGTCATCATTTATTCAACGTCATGTTGTTCCAAACCAGTACGAATTTATTTCTTCTGCTGAACACAAAAGAAGACATTTAGAAGAAAATGGGTTACAAAACAGCTGATGGACTCCATTGACTTCCATAGTATGGGAAACATATGATACAGTATAGGAAACATATATTCTGTATATATATATATATATATATATATATATGTGTGTGTGTGTTATAGAAGTCAATGGGGTCTATCAACTTTTTGGTTAACCACATTATTTTTAATACATTTTTTTGTATCTATCCCTTTAAGCTCGACAGTTCTCTTTATTATGATAGATACACTCACCTAAAAAGGATTATTAGGAACACCAGTTCAATTTCATATTAATGCAATTATCCAATCGACCAATCACATGGTGTGGTCCTGGTCAAAACAATCTCCTGAACTCCAAACTGAAAGTCAGAATGGGAAAGAAAGGTGACTTAAGCAATTTTGAGCCTGGCATGGTTGTTGGTGCCAGACGGGCCAGTCTGAGTATTTCACAATCTGGTCAGCTACTGGGATTTTCACACACAATCATTTCTTGGGTTTACAAAGAATGGTGTGAAAAGGGAAAAACATCCAGTATGCGGCAATCCTGTGAGCGAAAATGCCTTGTTGATGCTAGAGGTCAGAGGAGAATGGGCCGACTGATTCAAGCTGATAGAAGAGCAACTTTGACTGAAATAACCACTCGTTACAACCAAGGTATGCAGCAAAGCATTTGTGAAGCCACAACACGCACAACCTTGAGGCAGATGGGCTACAACAGCAGAAGACCCCACCGGGTTCCACTTATCTCCACTACAAATAGGAAAAAGAGGCCACAATTTGCAAGAGCTCACCAAAATTTGACAGTTGAAGACTGGAAAAATGTTGCCTGGTCTGATGAGTCTCGATTTCTGTTGAGACATTCAGATGGTAGAATCAGAATTTGGTGTAAACAGAATGAGAACATGGATCCATCATGCCTTGTTACCACTGTGCAGGCTGGTGGTGGTGGTGTGGGGGATGTTTTCTTGGCAAACTTTAGGCCCCTTAATGCCAATTGGGCATTGTTTAAATGCCACAGCCTACCTGAGCATTGTTTCTGACCATGCCCATCCCTTTATGGCCACCATGTACCCATCCTCTGATGGCTACTTCCAGAAGGATAATGCACCTTGTCACAAAGCTCGAATCATCTCAAATTGGTTTTTTGAACATGACAATGAGTTCACTGTACTAAAATGGCCCCACAGTCACCAGATCTCAACCCAATAGAGCACCTTTGGGATGTGGTGGAATGGGAGCTTTGTGCCCTGGATGTGCATCCCACAAATCTCCATCAACTCCAAGATGCAATCTATGGGCTAAAATTTCTAAAGAAAGCTTTAAGCACCTTGTTGAATCAATGCCACGTAGAATTAAGGCAGTTCTGAAGGCGAAAGGGGATCAAACACAGTACTAGTATATTAGTATGGTGTTCCTAGTAATCATTTAGGTGAACGCATTTACAATAATTAGGATTTGAATAAGAATCTGTCTTACATACAATTGTTTTAATAAATCAAATGAACTGTTATAGCTAATATAATTGAGTGGTTTTTCAAGCGACTCTCACAGGTAAACCCAAAATGTGTTTTTGTGGGGAGGACTTTTTACACTGACTGTTCATTAGAATAATGACAGACTTCTGTCATTCTTTCCCTGCGCCAGAACAAACTGGATTTGTGATGCAGGATGCCAATGCCATTAGAGAAACTAGGACGCTTTCTTTTTAATGGACAAACAATCCACAGCTCTCAGTGCTGGGAAATATGACAATGCAGTGGAGTGAGAGCGAGAGAGGACCTCTCAGGAACCTTACACTGCTCCGCACAGCTCGAATGACACTGGTTATTTGTTTTGCATTTAAAAAGTACTGGCCCACACACGTTTACGTCTAAATGCGTGTTCCACTTTATGGAAGAGTATTTCAGGGCCACAACATTATACATATTCATAAATCATTACAGGCCAGCATACGTTCCATAATGTGGGGCCCTCGGCAGGGGGCCACAAATTACATGTACGTAGAGAGGCAGGTGCACCTTGGTGGTCTCTTACTTTCAATTATTATGAAAGAATATTTCCATTACTGGGACTCAAGTATGACTTGGTGAGTAGAGCAGGGAGATTATGCAGACATGGAACAATCTTTGTTCCAACATCTAGTGTGTGCTGTACATTCTGCGACTACATTCACACTTTAAGTCCGAATACGACTGGAATTTAAATCCGATTTTTGATTTGATCAGATCCGATTTTTGTGTCCCATGGCACTCGTTAGTTTTCAGAATGTAGAGGTTGATTTCTACACCAATAACTTTGCATTAGTAGGCATATACCAGAAACAACATGGAGGGATTGTCTTACAATATGACACACATCGTATATTTACATGGCGTGAGAAAATGACATAAGGGAAAAAAAATGCTGCATTAAATCCGATCAGAGTAGTCAGATTGAAACGGATTTACAGATTTCAATCCAAAAATGAATGTGGCTTCGATGTGATTTTTTTTTTTATGTTCACACTTGCTAAATACGATCAGATTCCATTTGGACTGACATGAAACTTTAAAAGTGTATGAGATTGATTTGACATTAGTATGTTGCTATGTGAAAACATACAATAAGCATAAAACACAGCACATATAGATATAAGATGCATTTATTAAATGACTATATTCATTATATGTATTAATTTACCTATACATTTTATTGATTATTTTCATTAATGGATGGTATTATGTTTACGACTCGCCTTCTTGGGTTTCTATTGTCCTACAAGCCTGTTGCAGTGCATTTTGTTACTGCCTTCTCTGCAAAGGATATGGTCACCTATGTTTTAGCCAACATGAGGTCATTTCGGAGGTACACAAGAAAATTGCGAGTACAATTCAGGAAAAATTACAAAGAAATGGCAAGTAATACAACACATTGAATTAAACCCAAAATCGTGATGTATTTTCTTGCAAATCGTACTTAATCGTTTTATTTACAACTTTGAAAAAAATAAAAAAGAATATTTTTGAATAATGTTAATGACGAATTTTATCGAACAGGCTCTTTGTCGGGACTCTGTCTATGGCATCTACATGGCATCTCACTACATTTTGGAACACAGCCATTCAGAAGATGATACACTTATGTGAGGCAGTACAGTCTGTTGTGAATCTCTCTACAAAGCACATAAGCCTATACAATGAGCATTTGACTGCAATAAATCAAAGAATTCTCTCTTTGCTGTCAGCAGGTGACAGAGCCATATATCTGTCCTCAATCCCATCATCCTAACAGATGGTGTTTTCTTTAGCTACTGTATGTCTCTCTCTCTCTCTCTCTCTCTGTGTGTGCGTCTACGCTTGCATGCATACGTGCATTCACGTCCACTACATATGCCCATTTCTTCCTTATTCCTAATATGGTCTTCCTGTTAGTGATTGACAGTCACATACATTGTATACTGCTCATGCCATGCCATGAATGTCACGGTCAAAGCTATCTATATGCTAGACATTTAAGAAGATTCCACCTGACTTGATTCATTGGAGCTTTTTACCTGGCAGCCGGTGGCAATCATCCATGTATTATTTATGGTCAAGGTCATATATCATTTAATTCAAGATTATGTAAAGACAAGATTTAACCCATTGATGTGCTATTCATCAGTCTTTCTTTAACAGTCTTTAAACAAGTCTGTATTATAATTTGAGATATACTGTATATATATATATATATATATATATAAATAATGTAAAATTTAGACGTCACCAGAAAGTGAAAAATAATAAAAACAAAAACATTAAAAAAAAGATATATTATGAAGGGCCAAACAATAACATGACCAAATAATTACAGGATATACTTGTATAAATATATAGATGCAAATATGAATTTATACAGTTATAGATTCAAATTTAAATGCATGCATCCAGACTTATAATTACATATACGTAATTCTGAGATTTATTTATAAATCTTTGAAATACTTAGAATTATATATCTTTAGATTTCATTTAGGTCCCGTTTGATCTTTCATAGTGAATAATTAAATAAATTCATTCTATTAATTTGTTATGCACAACTTAATAATATTAAAGTTTACATTGTCTAAACTAAATAATAATAAAATGTTACATAAAAATGGTATTATCAAGGTGAATTTCCAAACATCACAATACTAAAAAAAACCCACCGTAATACTAGAGGCAGGTAAATGAAAATGACTTGGTGCCAGTATTATAGAATAATGGGTAGCACTTTATTTTACAGTCCAGTTCACCATGTACATATTATGTCCTTGGTAATTACAGTAATTGGGTAATAACCCCTTTAAACCTTATCCATGTAGTCATCTTATATTACCCAGTACTTTCTTAGTACTCAGTCATTATTCGGTTGGTAAGTGCAAGTAGAATACAAAAAAACAAATATTTGTGTTTCCCAAACCATACCATTAAGATAGAGATACAGAGAATGAGAGACAGACAGAGGCAGGAAGCTCTCAGAGTACCCTCATTAAGTTTTAATGTTTGGTGAGGGTAACCCTGCTTTCAGGACACACAGAGAGATGCTGAGGAGCACAGAGGGTGCACAGTGATGGTTTCGGCTTGTTCCTGTAGCGGAGAGCCTGTTTGAAGCACCACCCCTCTTGCTCTAATGCACCTCTGAATATGATCTCCAGATAAGCCTTCACTCATTTCATTTGGCAGAGTGCTGAGTCTGGGATGACATGGGACCCGCTCTCACTTTCATTACCCATGATTACATCTGCCATTTGGGGTCACTGGAGACCTTCTCCCCACGGAAGTCTAGATGACAGATGCCACAAGAGAGCGTGTGTTTGTGTATATGCTTCACCTGAGTGTGGTGGCTGTCCATGTGCCTGTGTAACGCCGAGGCGCTGGATGCATTTGACTTTGGATGCCCTTCGTCTTCCAGGGTTCCTAGTGAGAGAGAAATATACGGATGTTAAATGTAACATTCTTGGAATATGCTGCTTCAATGTGCATTGTAATTCTCCATTCAGTCTACACATTTCTTTTATTTTTGTTTGTACCAAACATTAAGGGTGTAACAATATATCGTGTCACAATACAAAAATGTAACAATATGTATTGTGGATAGTGGCGATCTGTATTGTGTATACAGTAGTTCGCCCAAAATTAAAATTACTGTGTGAGAAAAAACAATAAAGGGATAGTCTACTTTTTTTTTTGAAATAGGCTCATTTTACCACTCCCCCAGAGTTAAACAGTTGAGTATTACCGTTTCTGAATCCATTCAGACAATTTTCTGATATTTAGAAGAATATCAGTAACCAGACAGTTTTTGGTCTCATTAACTTCCTTAGTAGGACAAAAATATATACTATGGTAGTCAATGAGACCAGAAACTGTCTGGTTACTGATATTCTTCTAAATATCAGAAAATCGGCTGAATGGATTCAAAAACGGTAAAACTCAACTGTTTAACTCTAAGGGAGTTGAGCCTATTTCCAAAAAAAATAAAAGTGGAGTATCCCTTTAACAGAATTTTAAAGTCAGTCCTACATTAAACTACTATATATAGTTGAATATAATGCATAATAATGCAATGGGGGGATATTTGTGGGTCCTGATAATGCCAAATGTATTATATCTTAAGCAGTGACAGAGTATAAACATATTTGTCTGAAATAATTCTGTATTTTCAGCTTCAGAATCATATTTTTATTTTGATGTCACCATTGTCCGGTGCATTGGTTAACCATCACCAAGTCCAAGCCTAGTCATTTACACCCCCAATTTAATACCAAATTTAGCATTTTAATCAACAGTACATTTTTTTGTTAACATTTTACCATGTGTCTTAAAGTATCGCAATAATATCGTACCATAAGTTCAGTATCATGATATGTATCAAATCTCTATTTCACATTTATTCAAACTTTTTGTTTTGATATGCCTGAGCTGAGCTACATAAAACTTCAACGCCATTCTTTTGCTGCCTCTGAATTACTGGTGTTTTCTTCTGGACATTACATTAGATCATATACCATTATCTTCAAGATGCAGGCATATAATGACTAAGTGTATGGGTCACTGCTGGGTGTTTAAAACTTCCACCCACTCTCTGCTACATCCCCTCATGTGGAATATGGAAGTCCGCCCCCCCTCCCCCTCCCGATATTAGCCTCACTGAGAGGAGAAAAGGCCAAGAGAGTGAGTGTATGTGTTTGTGTAAGGGAGGCAGAGAGACCCTGAGCCATCTGATAGCTCTTTAGGAGAGTACTTTATCAAGTCCAGGGTCTTTCACCTTAATCGTGGACCGCCTCAGTGATAGCTTCTGGGTCAACTCACTTTATCTTACCACGTCTGTTTCTCCAATCCCACTCTCTCCACTAACCACCCTCAATCTGCCACTCTTTCCTTTTCCTTTATTCTCTCATTTTATCTCTGATATGTTTTCATGCACGTAAACCACTGGTCTTTCTGTCTGTGGTGTCATGCAAAGGTTACACAGTCATTGGTGCTGTCTGTGGTAAACAAATCTAGGAGCAAGGCTGGGGCGGCCAATGACATACAACTAAGCTTCAAATGGAGTTTGAATGGGGAAATTGAGTTTTAAATGGGGAAATATATCTCAAAACCCAGCAAGTGTGATTTGAGTGGTTTCACATTTTAATCCTAAACTTCTAAACATGTATTTGCTGAATCATTCGTGGTTAATAAATAAGACCCCAAACCTCTTGTGCCATTACCATTGGAGATCTGGTTGCCGTTCTCGATGGGGGGCGGGTTTGAAGAGTTGGGAGAGGTGTGGTTGTTGGCGTTTTTATCCTGTAACTGTGACGACGGAGAGATTGGGCCTTGATCCTCTCGACCTGGCAGGTTAATGTTGGAATTTGAGAGTCCTATGGAATAGAAATGAATAAAAACATTTGATAAATACATTGTTTCGCATCAAGACGATGTGTAACGTTTGCTTCAGCACCATGTAAGGCCCCACAGATCTCGCTGTGACTGTCGATCTACACCTGTCACCTTGACTCACTAACATTTCTGAAGGGGCAGCTGCTTAGGCCAGGAATTGGGGGAATGATGGAGTCTTTCGATGACGTTGACGGCAGAGAGAGCGGAAGCGCAGGGGGATGTTTAAGCCTCACGGTATGCGGGTCTACTTGGATCTGACCGTCACAGGGATAGATATAGCACAGGGGTCATTTGCCATTTTAAACCCCTGTTAGCAGCCTTGTTCCATTACAACATTCTCTCTCTTTATCTCTCTCATGTCATGAGCATCTGAATTCACAGCCAAGGTTGTCAGAGATTCATTTACTGCAGCTTTGTGTCTGGGACCCCTACTGACTCTATGTATTCAACATGATCACATTACATTGACTTATGATTATGTGTATTTGAACATTGATGTAGAATTAATTGGGTTCATAAAAACAAATATTTAATTTCATTCTGATGACATTCTCTCAGTCTTTCAGGGTCAGATTGATACAGTGGGGTCCACAGTCCTAAGCCAACAAATAAAAAAAATATCAACATAAAAGTAAAAAAAATTGAATTAAAAAAAAAAGTATTGCGCCACATGATTTGATTACAACTGAAACTGTAATTTACTGTTTTATATTAGGGCTGTGCAAAAGTTAATTGCGATTAATCGCATCCAAAATAAAAGTCTGTTTTACATAATATATTTGAGTGTGATCTATATAATTATTTTGTATAAATACCTATGCATGCATGTATATATTTAAGAATTATTTGCGCTTAAATTCTGTATATATATATATAAATACATAATCTATATTATATAAATATAAATATTTTATATAGGAATAACACATTTTCTTAAACATATACATGCATGTGTGTGTATTTATATATACAAAATAATTATATACAGCACACACAAATATACTATGTAAACACAGACTTTTATTTTGGATGCGATTAATCGAAATTAACTTTTGCACAGCCCTATTTTATATAATAATAATTATGATAACTTGTATATGTATGAATTCATTTATTTTGAATATTCTTAATTGATTTATAACTGTGATGTCAAAGTTAGCATCATTACTCCAGTCTTCAGTGTCATTCTAATATGCTGATTTGATGCTCAAGAAACATTGCTATTATAAATGTAGTAAACCGTTGTGCTGCTTAATATTTTTGTGAAAATCGTGATGATTTCTTTCATGATTCTTTGATGAATAGAAAGTTCAAGAGAACATCATTTATTTGAAATATAAATCTTTTGTAACATGATAAATATATTTAGTCACTTTTGATCAATTTTATGCATTGTTGCTAAATATACATATTATTGTCTTAAAACAAAATCTTACTGACCCCAAGCATTTGAACGCTAGTTTAATCGATATGTCATTGAATTAGGAGGATCAAACATGAAAAAGAAAATGAAATGCACAGGATAAGATGACTGTCAGACATGCAGAGCATGTCATCAATGCAGTAAGGGTTGGCTTTGTCTTGTTCGGGACTGCAGCTCCAGTTCAAATGACTGACAGATGATCATACAGTTCATTACAATAGGAAGAATATTTCAGTAGATTAAGCTAATTAAAACCTCAAAAAAAAAAAAGGAAATATCCAGATAACCTAATGTGATTAATCGTAAAAAGGAAAATAAACTGTGAGAACAAAAAATGTGTAAAACAAATATTATTATTAGAGATTATATTACAGATTAATGTTTGTTCATTTCACAGATACACTTGTTGACATGTACAGTAATGAAAAAGTAGTTTCCCCTGCTCTGGAGTGATGCTGTGCGTATCCAAAGACACATATGTATACACACACACGACTCTGGGGATTCACACACACGCACTGCAGCAATTCACATCCATCAGCAGACCTGCATCCTTTGATATTGAATATTTCATAGCAACATCATCTCTTGTCCATGCAATATTCATGTGCCTGAAGGTAATACCCCCCCGTGCCCTTTACAATAAAGTGAATAAATAAAAAAAAAAACCCAGAAAACATACAATATATATATATATATATATATATATATATACAAACCCAATTCCATAAAAGTTGGGACACTGTACAAATTGTGAATAAAAACAGAATGCAATGATGTGGAAGTTTCAAATTTCAATATTATATTTAGAATACAACATAGATGACATATCAAATGTTGAAAGTGAGACATTTTGAATTGCCATGGCAAATATTGGCTCCTTTTGGATTTCACGAGTTCCAAAACTACAAATTCCAAAAAAGTTGGGACAGGTAGCAATAAGATGCCAGAAAAGTTAAATGTACATAAAAGGAACAGCTGGAGGACCAATTTGCAACTTATTAGGTCAATTGGCAACATGATTGGGTATAAAAAGAGCCTCTCAGAGTGGCAGTGTCTCTCAGAAGTCAAGATGGGCAGAGGATCACCAATTCCCCCAATGCTGAGGCAAAAAATAGTGGAGCAATATCAGAAAGGAGTTTCTCAGAGAAAAATTGCAAAAAGTTTGAAGTTATCATCATCAACAGTGCATAATATCATCCAAAGATTCAGAGAATCTGGAACAATCTCTGTGCATAAGGGTCAAGGCCGGAAAACCATACTGAATGCCCGTGATCTTCGGGCCCTTAGACGGCACTGCATCACACACAGGAATGCTACTGTAATGGAAATCGCAACATGGGCTCAAGAATACTTCCAGAAAACATTGTCAGTGAACACAATCCACCGTGCCATTCACCGTTGCCGGCTAAAGCTCTATAGGTCAAAAAAGAAGCCATATCTAAACGGGAACCAGAAGCGCAGGCGTTTTCTCTGGGCCAAGGCTCATTTAAAGTGGACTCTAGCAAAGTGGAAAACTGTTCTGTGGTCAGACGAATCAAAATTTGAAGTTCTTTTTGGAAAACTGGGACGCCATGTCATCTGGACTAAAGAGGACAAGGACAACCCAAGTTGTTATCAGCGCTCAGTTCAGAAGCCTGCATCTCTGATGGTATGGGGTTGCATGAGTGCGTGTGGCATGGGCAGCTTACACATCTGGAAAGGCACCATCAATGCTGAAAGGTATATCCAAGTTCTAGAACAACATATGCTCCCATCCAGACATCGTCTCTTTCAGGGAAGACCTTGTATTTTCCAACAAGACAATGCCAAACCACATACTGCATCAATTACAACATCATGGCTGCGTAGAAGGAGGATCCGGGTACTGAAATGGCCAGCCTGCAGTCCAGATCTTTCACCCATAGAAAACATTTGGCGCATCATAAAGAGGAAGATGCAACAAAGAAGACCTAAGACAGTTGAGCAGCTAGAAGCCTTTATTAGACAAGAATGGGACAACATTCCTATTCCTAAACTTGAGCAACTTGTCTCCTCAGTCCCCAGACGTTTGCAGACTGTTATTAAAAGAAGAGGGGATGCCACACAGTGGTAAAAATGGCCTTGTCCCAACTTTTTTGAGATGTGTTGATGCCATGAAATTTAAAATCAACTTATTTTTCGCTTAAAATTATGCATTTTCTCAGTTTAAACATTTGATATGTCATCTATGTTGTATTCTAAATATAATATTGAAATTTGAAACTTCCACATCATTGCATTCTGTTTTTATTCACAATTTGTACAGTGTCCCAACTTTTATGGAATTCGGTTTGTATATATATATACAGTATATATATATATATATATACACACACACACACACACACACACACAATTGTAATCGAAATTATTCAATCCCCATTGCAAATCAGGTTTATGACAAAATGTAAAGAATTTCAGATTCTACAATAGCCATCACTGTTGACTTCTGGTGTCTGGTTATATATCTCATTTGCAGCAGGTTAAAACAGCACTGTACGAGTAGTAAAGATGCTGCTTACAATGAAAAGGTTCAATAGTTTTAAGACTGCAGATGTCATTAAATGTCACATTTTCAGTTGAATTTGGGGAATCCACTTGAAACATTTGTTGTGTTGAGCCACTTCAATTGTTTGAATTGTTCATTGCAGACAGCTGAAAGTCAGTAATTTTTGCCAATAAACCACAATTGTAATGGGGGTAGAATAATTTTGATTACAACTGCATTTTGCACACACGCACACATGGGTCGGGGGGTCATATGGGATCCACGCTCATAAATCTATGATGGGAGTAGATGTACTCTAAATCATATTTAATTAAATACAAAGGTTAAGAGGAGGAGGTCGTGTTAAGACACAGCATGTGAACTAAATCGCCACGCACACCCAACATCCTCCCTAAGAACGCCTCCTCATCAAATTATCTTATTTTAATGTGACATTTCACACTTGCTCTTTTCCTTAAATGAATAATGTACTAAATGTGCCTTTTATATTAGTTTTCTCCACAGGTGAAAGCATTTCTTTGAGAGAAAAAAAAGGGTAATGTTTTAAATTTTAAATGTGACAGACCACCATTACAGATCATTCTGGTTCAGTTTAAACATTAGGTGCATGGTGTAGCTGCTTTTAAGGGCAGTTGTTGGATAAGGTTGCTGTGGTGTCATAACAAAAGTGATTTAGAGCAGATGCAAAATACAGCCTAAACCTCGATCTTACATAAACACTCTGCCTTCATCGGAATGGCTTTCTGAGAGAGAGTGCTGTGGCTTTTATGGTAAATGTCTGTTTTATCAGCACTGACCTCACTGTTTTTGACAAACACAAAGCCTGGCACTGGATGAGTCAATAAAACCATACTAAACAGAATGTGTTTTTCAATTACCACTATATGAAATTGCATTGGTGCTGGGAAAGTTTAAATAATTTGACCAGACTATTCTGGTCAAATTTAGCATGACCATGTGTGCTGGTGAGTGCAACTCCTTTTATGAACTATAAAAATATGTCATTTAAGACATATTAAAGATCTGTCTCACCTTTTCCACCAAAGCATTTTGAGAGCCGGTTCGGAGCCGGTGCCTGTGCGCGAACCAGTTCTTTGTGTTTCGTCAGCCAAAGAACCGGTTCTCGGCCAGGAAAACTGGTTCCAGAGTGGCACCAACTCTTTGCTGGACTAGAACCGTTCGTTTACCACATCATGCTTACGTCGAGGGCTGGGGCGGGTTTAGATGTGTTCTAAACATCTTTTCTGACCAACGCAAAGCCAGGAGAAACATTTGCAGAAACACGATGGAGTCCGACTTTGTAATTGTTATGCTTGAAGTTGGCGCAAGTGTTTCTATTATTATTATTCATTTATTTATTTTTTGAAAACATTATAAGCAAAGAAGAAAACAGTCACAGTATAGAACAAATAAATGGAAAGAAAAAAAAGACACAAGACAGGGGTACATAATTAATCAGAAAATATTACATATCAAAAGAAAAGATTAAAAGATGTACATATTTCAATTGTTTTTAAAGCCTTCTTGGTACACGAGTTAGATATAATCTCAAAGTAATGTTGTACTTGCAAGCGTTTCTAGCTAAGACGTATGGCGACGTACACAGTGACGTAACGACGTCGTTCCCTGGGCGCTCTAGTCAGTGGAAAAACAAACAGGTTCTGAGAGGGTTCGCAAGTTGAACCAACTCCGAACCAACTTTGAACCAGCACCAGTTCCGAACCAGTTCTTTTTTGGTGGAAAAGGGGCATGTGATGAGTCATGTGAGTTAAAAACAGTTAAAAAGGATAGTTCATACAGAAAAGAAAATTCTATCATCATTTATGATTGGTTGGACAGGCTGTTCCAAACTTTCTATTGTGAAACACAAAATAATATATCTTGAATAATGCCTTTTTTTTTGTCCATACTATGAAAGTCAGTAGGTTTCAATATTCAGTATGTGCTTTGGACCTCATTGCCTTTAATTGTATGGACAATATGAAATATTCTTCAAAATGTCTTCATTTTGTCTTCACTTTCATATTGTCCATACAATTAAAGGCAATAATGTTAGGAATCACATAAGGGTGGGTAAGGGGATGACAGAAAACATTGTTGGATGAATTTTATAAAGGTGCTATGCATAATTTTTTTGATGTTAAAACACTTTATGCCAGCTTGACATGGCACCTATAGACAAGCAATTCTTAGCTTTTAAGTACTCATTATGGCACTTTCAAAACTACTTTCTTTGCCTGAGCGGACTGACATTGGACAACACCGGCTCAACTATAGGGGGAGTTTCTGAGAGAACTATTTGGTCCGTTTGGTGCCACAAATGGCATCAGAATTACATAGCCTATAGAATACATGCACCCAAACACATACACACTTTCACTCACCGCTGTCTCTGATCTTTCTTCCTGTGGTGGACTTGCGGAGTAGGTTGCGCCCTGAACTGAAAAGGGTGTTAAGCTCATCTAGGGGGCTAGTGAGGGCTCTCCCATTAGCAGGGTTGAAGAGCAGAGGCGAGGAAGAGCAGGAGTGAGCTCTGCGGGGCTCTGGCCGTGAGGTCTTCACTGGGGAGAACGGAGGCTTGGAACTGCTTGGGGGCGTCTCTGCCAGACTGTGCACCATTTTATGGGAAACTTTTGGGGAATCTGTGCTAGCCAGAGAAGCTGCACGGGTCAGGGACAAGAAGTTTGTCTCAGGGGGGAAAGGGAAGTGAGAAGGAGGACGGTAGGGAGGTGGAAGTACTGCCGGAGGGGGAGGAGGGGGAGGTGGAGTCAAGGGTGGCGTGGATTTGTCTGGCATTAAGACAGAAAGACTTGGTGAAGAATCAGCCCTTTGCCGGATGTACTGGGGTGAGAGCGGGCTGCCCCCATCCTGGCTGGTGTAGTTAAGATTGGTCTCGAACACCGGCAGCTTCTTCACCTCAAGAGGGGTAAGGGGGGACTCATCCGAGGCAGGTGAGCAGGTGACAGGGGACGGAGGGAAGACAAGAAGTGGGGGACGGTGTGGAAGGAGGTTGGGGAAAGGAGCTGGAATGTCACATGCTGCCCCATCCTTGCCCAGCTGCTTTCCCCCGAGTGTGCCAGAGAACTCCATCAGGGTGACAGGCCTCTTGACTTCCAGCACTGGGGCAGGTAGGTTAGTAATGGTGGGATTGACAGCTTCAGGCTTGACCACCTGAGTTGACCCCACCTCATCAGGTGGGAAGTACTTCATCTCCTCGTATACTGCCTCGCTCAGTTCTGGACTGTGGGAGTCAGCCAGGCTGAGGGCTCGTGAGGCCCCTACCATCTCAATGTACACATCCTCCTCGTCCTGGCAGGGGTAGAGGCTTAGTACAGAAGAATGGGCGCCATCCGCAGATGCTGCTCGCTGGATGAGGCCCAAGCAGTGGCCTCCTCGTACCAGGCTGAAAAGTTTCATGTCTGTGGGGCGTACTGGGGAGGGCACAGAGATCTCCTCGTAGGAGCCCGTCAGTTTGGTATTAGGGCTACGTTTTGGCTTAGGGGGCGGGATCTTCTTCATGGTGCTGTAGTCATCACTGTGAGGCCGTGGTTTAGAGAGAGCTAGAGGTGTAGTCAGATGATGGATGAGTTGGGAAGGAAAGGAAAAAGCCATTTACTAAAATGCAATTCTCAATATTGAGGTAGATGGAAACATTTGTGCTTTGTTGTTCAAAACATGGACAGTACATGGCCAGAAGTATGTGGACATCGGAACACCACACGTGCGTTGTGCTCTAGCAAGTTGGTATTCTCTAACAGCTTCTATTTCCACAAATGTTTTCCACAAGATGTTAGAAGTTCCCATTGTGGAACAACAGCATACCCTGATGTCGGGTAACTGAGTCTGGCACTGAGTCCGATTCATCCCCAAGGTGTTCAGCTGAATTCAGTTTTGGGCTTTGTGCAGGCCAGTACATCATTTACACTAGAAGTTGTCCACATACTTTTGCAAACCATGTAGAGCATTTGATATTTATACGTACGATCAGAAGGAGAAAGCTGGGTTTTTGGTGGGCTTCCAGACGGAGAAGCTTGACCCTCAGCAGGACTGTCTTTGGGTGCAATACTCAGCCCTGCACTCACTGCTTCATACGATGCACTCAGACGTGTATTTGGGTCTCGTTTGGGTTTGGGAGGAGGTTGTTTTCGTGGGGAAGAGAGGTTCCCTCCATTCCCCTCTTCGGTGGAGTGTGGTGCAGGCTGAAGGGCTGCTTTGATTGATGTTCCAATACTGGAGTGTACCAAGCTGTCCATTACCAGAGGGAGAGGCACAGAACTTGAGCGGAAATGCCGGAGTGGTCGGTTCCCCCCACGGCCTGCCACATCATTGACCCTTCCAATTTTTTCAACAGCCCTAAACAAAAGGATGAACGGACGAATAATTCAACAAATTTAAATGGTAAACTGCTTGTTGAAATATGATTTCTAGTGTCATTCATGACTGCTATTGCTCAAGTACCTAGAAAATCCTTATTTATATTTTGATGCTTTCAATCATTCACCCAATATCACGCTAGAAGCATATGTCCTGTCTCAATGCACAGTATGATGGGTAGTGAAGGTGCTAAGCAGCTGCCAAGTGTGAGAGTATCAGTTTCAACCTTCATAAAATCAATACACCAATGTCAAGCTGTCCATTCATATCTGGGCTAAGATTTCGGGACACTACAGTAACTGCAATGGGTGTTTCCTTAATCATAAAGATAAAACAAAAATACTAAGGCTATCAATCAAATACGTTTTTAATTAATTAATTTTTAACCTTAATAATTACACAATATGCAGATTAACCAAATTAAAAAAAAAACATCAGGGTAGTACCTCAAATCTGAATTAAGCCACATTCATTATTATACATGATTAATTGCATAATTCACATATAATAATTAATTCATTTGCTTTTCAGCATGCCTTAGAATTAAAATATCAGAGACTTCTCAATTTAAGTGAAGTGTTCTCCCCCCTCATGATACCAGAAAACGATAACACCAAATTAGCATGATATACCGAACCTAAGCTTGAAAAGATTATTTACATTGTTGATTATTTAAGTCTAAGCAGCTTCCTGTAATACTCTAATGTGACATGCACACTCTTGTTTGATATTTCCCTTTTAATCTGAGCTCCCATCTGTTGTTCTTGCGGGAAAGGCGATGGAGTGTTGGGGAACAGGGGGTTGTGTGGGGTTACAGTGACTAAAAACCTTAAGGAGATTTCTGCAACCCAGAGTGGGGGTGGGTCTTATCTCTCTCTGATTAGCAGGATGGAACTCCTCTTCACTCACAGATTGAGTGTGCTACATCTAGATTAGCTATGAAACCCCCATCACTCAATAACTAGCACCTCTCTCATTTGTGATGCTTAAAATGAACGTATGCGATGAATGTGTGTACATGTTTTGAAGAACAAGAAGCCCACCCCCACCACAAGAGCAGATGGTCATATGCAGAAGACACAACTAATGTCAATGGCGACCCAAATACATCTGTGTTTCTGTTTATGCTTGTGTGAATATATTTACATTAAAGTCACGTTAAAAAAAGACTCCTTGCTAAGCTCGCCTTACCAATGATACTGATTACCTGATATTATCATTACCTTGGCAACCGTTGCTGGCCATCAGTGTCAGACAATTTGTTGATGCGTAAATTCCATTGAAGTTCTGTGTGTTTGGATTGTTTTAATAAAGCAACAAGCTACCCCTGTGTTACAGTGATTTTATTATGGGTAAAGGATAGTCTTGAAGTGGAGTGCTTAAAAGCCCCTTCACCATGACCAATTCAATCAGAAATCTGGCTATTTTACACCTTTTGACACTATTAATTGTAAAAGAGGTATACATTTTTTTTACAGATCTGACCTTGATGTGGACAGTTTGGAGAGTTTTACCTTTCTTCACAATGTAGATGGTAGTACATACTGCATGTGCCACGGTTATAGCTTTATATCTTTATATCTTTTTGGTGAATTACCACAACCCTAACAATGTCTTTAAAAAGTCCAAGCACTTCAGACATCAGTGGCAAACTCATTTTGTTTGCAAATGGATAACAAGGAGAACCAATAAAATCTCTGATTATATTAGACACTCCAATTCCACTTGGGTTTGAGGGACCTATAAACATTCATGTGATGTTTAATTGGTTCTCCTTGTTCTCCCTTTACAAACAAAATGACAATATAATTTAGACCAGGGGTGTTCAAACTCAGTCCTAAAGGGTCAGTAAGCATGTTTCCATTAAAGATTTTTGCGATTTTTTGTGGCACATACACATATATGGTGTTTCTCTGTGTTTCCCCCTCATATCTGCTTCATCTTAATTGTGGCATTTCTTTGAGGTTAAGAATCCACTATTCTGGTCATTATTTTGTCTTTTATGAATTAAATAAAGAACTCTGTCTCGTATTCTGTCCAAACATACGTCATCTAAGTTAGGTGACTGTAAATGCGCAAAACTATTTCCATTGCAGTTTTTCGAAATATGTCTTTCAAATGGCCTGAAAAACCACCTCACTCGGGTGTAAAAACAATTTTGCGATAAATGGGAGTTTGTGCAAAATTGACGTTTTCAATTCACAATTAAAATTTTCACAAATTGAAGGGTAAGTGGAATCGCGGCTACTGTCCGGCAGAGTTTAGCTCCAACTTGCCTCAACACACCTGCCTGGAAGTCTCTAGTAGGCCAAGTAAGACCTTTGCAGCATCCCAAATTGCATTCTATCCGTCCTAAATAGTATTCGAAAATAGAATTAGTACGTCCCAAATCGTAGTATGTTGAAATGAGTGTTTCAAAGATACCCGGATAGTCTACTTTTTCCGGTCAGAATCCGAAGTGTAGATCGATGCACACTCTAACGGCTGATATTGCCCACAAACCATTGCGCGTTGGACGAGGATTCGGTTAGAACTACAAACACGAGTAAAAAGTGTTAAAAAACTACAGACACGTAGTCGATACGGAGGACGCGCGAGTCCCCGCGGTTGTGTAGAGAGGTTTAGATTAAGAGCTTTGAGTGATTAATTATCAGTATCTAACCTGACGAAAATGAATTTATTCAATGTTCATTTGCAGCAGCATTGTGAACTTTTGTAAAGACACGTTTAGCCATTACGTTTTAAATGCATCATTATATTCAAATTGCAAACACGAGGAGAGCATGAAAGACCCACAACTGGCAGATGAACGTGCCCTCCGAAACGGTAGGAAATAAAATTAGATAGAATGGAGGATTTTAACTGTGACAAGATGATTGACAGGGCAGTTTACGGTGACAGGATGCACGGAGCACGCGACAGAGCTGTCCGTTAAAGATGACGTGATAGTATGTCCCAAAGCTTGCCTACTCTTTTGCTACACACTCAAAAGTATGTACTTTTTACTCACAAAAAGAGTACATACTTTTAGGGCGTAGTATAAGTAAGCGAATTGGGACGCAGCACTTGATTAGCTGGTTCAGGTGAGTTTAATTGGGGTTGAAGCAGAACGCGGCAGGACAGTGGCCCTCCTGGAGCAGGATTGGACACCCCTGATTTAGACAATTAGAGAGTCTAGAATAATCCTTCAAGGACATATCTGATCTGCCACATCGAATTGAATTTCAGCATACAAAACTAAATCTTTGTTAACAGATCCTCCAAAGAAGACCAATATAAATATGATTATTACCTTGCTAAGTATTTTAAGAACTAATTGAACAATAGGGAGAAATGATTGGCAGACAACCTACCCCACATATAGCTACCTAAATTAGTACCTTTAAAGGGATACTCCACTTTTTTTTTGAATTTTTTGTTTTTGCCTATTTTTATTTTTTGGAAATAGGCTCATTTTACAACTCCCTCAAAGTAAAACAGTTGAGTTTTACCATTTTTAAATCCATTCAGCCGATTTTCTGATATTTAGAAGAATATAAGTAACCAGAGAGTTCCTGGTCCCATTGACTTCCATAGTAGGAAAAAATATATCTTCCATAGTAGGAAAAAAATACTATGGAAGTCAATGGGACCAGAAACTGTCTGATTACTTATATTCTTCTAAATATCAGAAAATCAGCTAAATGGATTCGAAAATGGTAAAACCCAACTGTTTAACTCTAATTTCCCAAAAAAAAAGTGGAGTATCCCTTTAAGAATTGCATTAAACTGAATGTGCATATAGTATTTTAAATTATGGTTAGTTATTTAAAACTATCACTAACAGTTTATGGTTGGTATTAAAAAAAAAAAAGTGTGCCACGAGTTTTACCGTTTCGGCGAGTCTTCTTCTTTGCCCACAGGTTCTGGACGCTCACCCAGCGGTGGAGCGCTGACGTGACCCCGGAGGCGGTCATTTTCTCGTGCGATATCTGCAGCGTTTTGGATGACCAGGCTGTCATAAGCACGCATACCCAAGTCCTCTGCTCCCTGCAGGAACCGGTGGACGTTGCACTGCTCCTGCTGCCGAGAAGTGAGCTTGCGACACACATGCTGTCTGGCCAACCAGCCACGCACCACTGAATCACATACACACGATTAAGTGAAGTAAAAATATCAAGTCGAGTGACAGATCATACAATATGAACACACTCTACCTTTCTGACAGATAATAATCTTCCTGTGCAGTTGATGGCAACGGTCATTAAGGTGATCGGCTTGCCAGTATCTCAAGAAAACCTTACTGTTGCCCATCTGAACAGAGAAGAGGAAGAGAAACAAATAATCATATTAGTTCCCAGCATGCTTTGCATAGGATTGAATTTTTGAATTGAAGTGTTATCTTAAAGGAAAGACTGGTTTGTGTATAATGTTCCATTATTATACACGTATAAAATAGCTTATGTTGTGGTTACCATTGCGCTAAAGAGTGGAGCTTAGGTTGTAGGATGGTTATATGATGATTATGGTGTTTATTGGTTCAATCAATGAGTGAAAAAAAAAAAAAAAAAAAAAAAAAAAAACTGGTCCTAGTCTACTTAGCGTTTATATTGGCATTTTTAACACCAAACCTAAAAGCATAGGATAAATTCACAACCTGATTGGTCGGATTTTGTACATTTTGCAATGGAACTTACCATCAAAACAATGCTGTGTGCTGGGATAAATGTGCTCATTGTATGTGTGCGTAGCCTACATATGATATAGTATTCTGACCAGCTGAGTACTCGGGAAGAACTTATACATATCTAAAGGCGTCAAAACAATGGCAGGAATCCCTCCGTCACACACAAATGTTCTGCTGCTAGGATTATGCGGTTCTGATGCCTGGACTGAACTGTGATGGGCAACATCACGACTATGATGAGAAAAAAAAAAACAGGTCTTGTGACATCATGGTCCGTTTACATGTTGTTGGCCCGTGTTGTGATCATTTATCATTCGAACCACACAGTCTGTTTGGAAGCGGACCAAGACCCATCTTTTCAGCAGTCTCAGTGTTTGGATGGCAGCGTTCACACTTATTTAAATGAACCACACTAATAGATCAATCATACCGGGGTTCGTTTTAATCGAACCAAACTTTCCACGTGTGAAGACACCCTAATAACGATTAAAAACACATAACACACATTCAAGTGGAGTAAAATAGTACATTACATCAATCTATCTATACATGTCATTAATAAATAGAATCCACGTTTAAGATAAAGATATGTATCAAAATTGGTCTTGGCCACCATTTGGGATTTTAATGATACTGTCATAATGGATTCTAGGACTGCATCTATTGCAAAGGACACATTTGATGCAGTCTCAGAATTTGCTCAAAATAAGGTATCTTATGGCAGAAGATAAGTTGACTATCTGAGACATGAAAGTATTTGCAAACTCACCTGCCAACCCTGGAGTTTGCAATGCTGCAGAACGTGGCGGCACTTCTCCTCTGCGGATGCTTTCTTCTTGTCAGTGAGTATAGTGTCCACCAGCTCTCTGTATCTGCACCACAAACCCAAAGAACATCACTGTCATCAACATAATGCGCTGGAGAGGAACTCTTTGTACCTATTACTGCTCTGCTATTGCAGGATGGTCACTAATGTCTGTACTGGAATGTCATCTGCATGGACCATCAGCACTTCTTGTTAACCTGTTTAATAGGGCTATTTCAAATGCAATAACCATCTAAGGCTACTGAGTTTAAGCTATAAATGGCAATGCTCAATCCTAAATCAATTGTCTTTCCTTGGTGGGAGAACCCAACAAGAGATGCAATTTGAGGGTCAAAGGGTTTCAGAGTCTGGATGACCTCACAGCATCTGCGGCAGAGGCTGTTGGCAAGGCAACCATTCAAAAAGAAAGGTCAAACTTTGCTGCATTGATTTGGAGAAGAGGGATCAAGCATCTTTGGTGCGCGGGGGTACGTTGTAGACACACCCCTCAAACACGTGACTGTGTGTGTGTGTTGGTGCATTGGGATTATGCATTATGAACATCAATGTTTAATAATCAATGATACTAAAGGAATTTGCAAAGTAAGAATTAGAGCATTCATGATGCATGCTAATAATATTTCAAAACAACGCGAGTTGTGAACTAGCACAATCTCTAGGTATGGTGAATGGTATGTGATGATGTGGGTCTATTTTAATTCCAAAGGCCAATGGAACTTTATCAGGATGCACATTGTCCTGGATCCATGAAAGGTGGCACATGGTGAACAGATGGGAGGGTGGGAGAAAACAGGGATGCAGTGTATTGTGGGACGGGGGTGGGCTCAGTAAAACACTTGCTTTAGCCTCAAGCCAAATTAACTCAGCGTCTCGCTTTCAATGTGATTTACAGCAGCCTGGTGATTCTGAACTTCCCCTAACCCTTCCTCTGTATGACCAAGACCTACGGCATCCCACAGGAGTCATCAACCATGAATGGAGCCAGGGGAAACCAAAGACTTCTTGTATATGAATATGAAAATTGTAGATGCCCTCACAGTTTGTTGGGCCTTTGGGGATTGAGTCATATGAACTCAACAGGGTCGAACTGCCTGGTAGTTAAGCTACGAATTGGGGTTATGAGATGGGGGACTACCTCATTTTTACAGTAAAGAGCCACAATAAAATGACACGATGACAATAGACCGTCATCTATTATTCTGAGCGTCATTATGGCGATAAGAACTGCTGTCAGGAAACAAGCAGGGAATGTGTTTGTGTACGTGAATATTAATGCATAAATCAAACTGCTACTCCTCTCAAAAGCACTGAAGCTGAGCGTACTAGAAAGAAAAAAAAATAGTTCACATTGCAGGTTTCTTTTAATTAAAGAATCATGAAAAAAGAGTATAACAGTTTGCATTGAGCAGCACAATTGTTTTTAATCTTGATAATAATAATAATAATAATGAGAAAATGTTTCTTGAGCAGCAAATCAATGTATAATGATATCTATAGGATCTTGTGACACTGAAGACTGGAGTAATGATGCTGAAAACTCAGCTTTGTTCAAAGCAATAAAACATTTCTAAATATATTACAAAACTTTTTTTTTATCAAATAAATGCATCCTATTTGAGCATTAGAGCCTTTTTTTCCAAACAACAACAACAACAAAAAAAACCCCTGACTATTTCTATATGTGTTTAAAAGAATAAACCTGTTTGCATTTCTTTCTTTAAAAACACAAAATAAGATATTATTGGGTAACGGATGACTATTTTGTCCATTCGATGAAAGCCAGCAGAGCCTAATGTAATTTTGGCCCCCCCATTGACTCTTTTTAAATGGACTTTCTTCAAAACATCCTCTTTTGTGTTTCTAAAAATAAAGAAAATCATACAGGAGACATAAGGATAAATGATGACAGAATGTTTATTTTTCAGTGAACTATCCCTTTAAGGATACTATAATAATTACTTCTATCATTTGCTGCATTCCCTTTCATTCGCATCTCTGACTCTGGTCCATGTTTTTATGTGTTGTGTAATACAGTGAGGATGCTGCATTGCATTTAAGGGTGGAAGCGCAGTTTGTCCTGAGGCCTGAGCTAAACCGTGATAAATAAGCCTGTCATATTCATTAGTGCTGGGCCAAAGACTATCACACACACACATCAGACTGCACACCACAAATCATTCATAAAGACCAAGAGCGGGGGTAGCTAGCATGATGATTGAGAAGAAGAAAATCATATACAAAGAGTCGAATCCAAAAAAAAAAAAAAAAAAAAAAATCTTGACTGAACGTCACACGTGTGCAAAACATACACCCATTGAAAAATAATAACTTTCCCTTTCCCCTTACACACGCTCATGAATGGCTTGATGGATGTGGTGAATGGGTTCTTTGTGACTCGCAGTCTCTTTTCTGGCCTCGGGAAGTCCAGGCGTCCTTGGAAGAGACGTGCTGGATGGAGGGTACACATGACTCCACATCATAAGCAAACACAAAGACGCATTTATCCAAGGCTTCACTTCTTTATTTATCCAAAAGTCGACAGAAAACCAGCACACATGTGCACTAGGACAAAGGCTGGCGCATGGCACGATTAAGTGGAAAATTGTTTGTAGTGATTCGTCTGCTGTTTGCTGAGGGCAGTGCAAACAGAATGATACGTTGAATGCCTGATAGAGCTGGGAAATATGTCAGATTCTCACACAATATTAATCCACATATTAGAGTTTTTAGGATAATTTCACACTTATAGGATACGTTTTAATAGCTTCTCAAAAAAATTACCTTCTAACATTTTTTAGGTAAAATCATAATAAAGGGAGTGCCACCAAAAAAAAAAAAAAAAAAAAAAAAAAATATATATATATATATATATATATATATATATATGTTTTCCTTTGTCATCATTTACCAGCCCTCCAATGAGTTTCTTTATTGTGTTGAACACAACATATGACATTTTTAAAGAATGTTGGCGAAATGTTAGCCATCGGCTTCCATAGTTTATATTTTTTCAAAGTCAATGGCTACCATCAACTGTCTGATTACCAAAATTCTTTAAAAATATCTTGTTTTGTGTAAACGATGACAGAATTTTCATTTTTTGGGTGACCTATCCATTTAACATGTTATTAACATGTATGTTATTTTATTATTTATGTTATTATATAAACTATATGTACATATTCAAATGTTTGGGGTCACTATAATACATTTTTTAAAGGTGCTATATGTAACTTTTCATCTAAAATGAATCTTTTTTTTTTATTGCCTGTGTGTGAAGGGGTTGTAATCACACATAGGGGTGGGCGAAATGGAAAAAATATCATATCACGATTTTTTTAGGAAAATCACGATCACGATTTTTTATCACGATTCTTTTTCAAGTTTGTTTTAATATTTTGCAAGTGGCTGTTCATTACAGCCAAACTAATGTCCCTTTGTTAAAAACAAAGCCTTAGGTAACAAAAGAAAAAAGAAAGCCACACATTTAGGCCAATGGCGAAGATAAAAATCTTTGTCATTATTTTCTTTGTTATTAAAAAAATAAGACAAGATAAATATTACACAAATTAATATTCATATTAAATAAATAGTGCTTTATTTTTTCAGATGCAGTAGGTGTATTTAGCAGTAGCATTGAAGTAATTAAACGAACAAATATGAAATTAAAACACTACATAGACTTCACTGAATAAATTGATTCTTATTAAAGATATATTAAAGTTCTCAGTCAGTGAGTGATTTTCTCCTTGTGTTTTTTTGTTTTTGTTTTATTAACACTAAAGGGATAGTTCCCTCAAAAATGAAAATTGTTAATTCTTAATTTACTCTCTCAAGATGTTTTAAACCCGAATAAGTTTCTTTTTTCTTCTGTTGAAAATAAAAGTTATTTTGAATAATGTGGGTAACCGAACAGTTGCTGGTCTCCTTATAGTTTTTTTTTTATAGGTTCTCTCCTGGAAGTTAATGGGGACCAGCAACTGTTTGGTTACCCACATAAAAAAAAAAATGTCTTTTGTGTTCAGCACAAGAAAGAAATTAATACAGGTTTGGAACAACATTAGAGTGAGTAAATAATGACGGATTTTTTTTTTTTTTTTTTGTGAACTATCCCTTTAAGGACAAGCGGCAGTAGGCTACTATTTATTTCTGTTGCTTTTAGACCAGCACGCGACGCGTTTAATATAGACGCATATTACACCAGATATTCTCTCAAATGTTTGCTTTCACTTTAGACATAGTCTGTTTATGTAAACATTGTGTGTATTTAACAGTATTAGCTTAATAAGACTCGAGAGATAACTCGATAACTAGTCCAGTATTCAGGCGCTGTTTGACAGACTTCTAGTGCCTGTGAGCGTCGGGGGTTATGCGGTCAGGAAAGCGCACGTTAGAACAGCGCATCAGCGCGTGAATTAAATGTTTAACCGGCAAGGCTTATGCAAATAATGAACTTTTGTGAATTGCAGTGTCCCGTACCTATTCCTTAACGTGTGGTGTAGGCTACGTCGCGTTGTACAGTTGAGAGACGGAGGCGCCAGAACTGAACTGATAGAATGCACTGTAACACGATACTACGAAATTTCTTTAAAAGCAGATCGTGGAGACATTTTAATCGTCCACGATTAAAAATCGTCATATCGCACACCCCTAATCACACATTACAATGATCCACTTGTTGGGTTTTGCTATTACCTCTGAAGGCCAGTATTCCTATTTTTATGTGAAGTCTCCGGGTCGGAATTTCTGCGAAATCCTTTTCTCCTTTTATATAAAGTCTATGCGACGGCACTGCAGCTGACGACATGGAGTTTGGTAACACCAGAAACAGCACAACCAGCACAACACGCACTCCAACATAAACTCCACATAAATATAAAAAACAAAAATCTATCTGCTGAAGCTCGTCAGGCCAAACGTGAATCGGATCGACATAAAACACGGATCAATATCGGCAGACTGAATTATCGAGAGACCTCCGCTATTTTTATTTTTTTCAAGTTTTCAGATATGCTGAAATAACGGTAAACTGTACTAAAACAGCAA